ACGACAAGATACAATTTGTAATGTATACTGTTTGTAATGTATACTGTTTATAATGTAACACACTTTTTATAATTAAAAAAATGGCTTCTGTGGTTTTCAGTATATAGAGCCTGTTTTTAATTGCTTAACTAGAGGTTTAGGCAAAGCAGCAGCATCTACATCCAGATCTTAACTTTCTTTAAAGATTACAAAATATAAATATTCCAAGTATGTATGTGCATTACTGGTGACTTTTATGAATTGCCTATAGAAATAATTAAATTATATATTGCACAAAAATTGAGCAATGTGCAATGAACAAGCATCTGAATAATCTGATTACTGCAGTGTTCTCTAAATCTTACATGGCAAAGTTGATTTCTATTAAAAATCAAGTTAAATTCTTTACGTAGTAGTGTTTTACAGTCTGGAAGTGTTGGACTGCTGAACTTCAGTGGAGAAAAACCAAAATGGAAGTTACACAGTATTGTGATGGAAATGCTGACTCTGCCAGTATAGGAACATCATAGTATTTCATTTTAACTTTTCTTGCTGGAAATACTTAACACCTCTAAGGATAAAATTACTTTTTAATTTACAATTTATCTCTCTGCACTTTTTGTAGTGGTCAAAGTTCCCTATTACAATTCTTCCCTAAGGCTATATCTTAAAGCTTCACTTCAGCTGCCATTTTAAATTAACTTTTAAGAGTGTGCAGAAAGGAAAACCTCTCTATTCCTCAGTGACTCTCAAAAAACACAAGTTCCAGCAGGATTATGCATTAGAGAGAACCTTGAGCTGTTTTTCTTAAGGCCCTGGTGCTTACTCAGTCAGTATACTGTTCAACTCTGTTTATATTTTGTTCACAGTCATTAAAATCCCAGACACACGTGCTCATATGTATTTCCAAGCGTGAAGGATTCTGAGGGCATGAAGATGACTGAAAAAGATAGATGTATTGTGTGAATTGCTACTTGATGTCAGTGTGCATGAGCTGCTGCTCACCTGGCATCTGACTGTCCCTTTTTGTTGGCTGTTCTAATTTGCTGTCGTGCAATAATGTAGCCAGTGAAATAGCAGCGCAGGCTTTGAAGCGTGAAAAACTAGGATCTCAATCATTGTTCCCCTGCTACCAAAATACCTCTGCTTTGCTTCCTTGGGAGTATTGACTTTCCAGTCTAGTGATTGTGTTTCAGTATCTGCATTAAATGCTTAATTGCTATTGTCTTAACATAGAGCAAATACAATGTAGGTGGAAACTAAGTATAAGTGAAGAAAAGGCAAGGCAAAAAGTGGTACAGTGAATTTTAGTTTTCCATCTCTTCCTGCAAGCAGGAAGAGAACTGGAGGAAAGAGAATGATGAACATAGAAAAGAACAGCGAAATTCAGTGTTTAAAATTTGGCAAGATGCTTTAATGACTAATAAAATGAATTCCAGTTACATGAAATGTGTATTACTTTTATGTGAAATTTTTCTTGCCAGCCTTTATCTGACATCTTAGAGAAGTTTCTCGTCTCTTTCAAGGGGACAGTTCTCTGCACTTTTGCATGAATGCTGAATGCATCTAGGATGCAAGCTTGAGCTCTGTTCTGGGGACTGGTATGTACACATATGCAAAACCTTTTGTTGGTGTCTCTGCCTGTTTTGTTCCTATCTGCACACTTTATACAATATTGAGAACCTACAACAGAGGTATAGCGAGACAAGTAGATAATGTTTATACTTGGAATCCAGAACCTGTGAAATAGATGTGTTTCAAACCCCGTGTTCTCTGTACAGGGAATTCTCTTTCTTGCAAAGCATCTGCAGCACCTTTATTCTGTTACTTTCAGTGTCTTTTGGCTTTGGTTTAGGTTAGGGTATTTTGGCTCTCCAGAAGCATTATTGCTTTCTCAAAGCTAGATAATATAATCCTCTTATGCCCGAGAGGATCAGTAGGCTGAAGGAGACTGGACAGGAGTTAAAGCTGCCCTAGTTAGCATAAAGCTGGAGTTTTCTTGCTTGCAAAAGCAAGTAAGACTTTGCTTTGTGGCTGTTTTTCCATCTTTAGCCATAAGTTCTCCTGGTTTCTTTGGCTCAGTCTCACTTTGATAGTGATTTATTGCTTGCTTTGGTGATCCCTCTTCAGAAAGAGACAATGCTTCGAAGATTTGTCTTTGAATATTTTTCAGTCCTTAGGAGCCGAAAATCTTACCATGACTATTCCGAGTATGATGGCAGTAAGGCTGAGGAGGCCTGTAGGTAGCAATTCTGTGCTTTATAGTAGCCCAAACTACATAAAACATGGAAAACTGAAATTCAGACTGTGTTTGGGAGAAAATGCTTCATTTATTTTTATCAGCTGGCCCTTTATTTAATTCACAAACTCTCTTGAACTGGACTAGCTGCTAGCAAGTTATTGCAGGACAAGTATTTTAGTTGGGTATTTTCTCATTAACTTAATTTTGATGTAATCTCCAAATGAAAGTTGTGTTAATTAATCCTCTCCATTTGTCAACACATAGACAGAAAAGAACAAAAAATACAATTAGAAAAGAGAATATAACTAAGTGTATTCCAGTGTTCTTCATTTCAAATAACTCTGCTCTTGCCCATTGTGAAGGTGAATTCTTCTTTCCACAATAAACAGTGCAGCCCCACACCAGGCCTGTTTCCCATTCATCAGACATCATCTTAATGATGGCTGAGGTAATTTTGTATTGAATTGCTTACTTATGTGTTTTTCCCTGTGGCAGACAGTGTCTGATGTAGCAGGTCAGGGCTCGTTTTCAGTGGTATGTCACTGGTGATGCAATGAGTATCAGTCCCAGCCAGTGTTGAGGAACAGATCCCACTACTTGCGGCTGTGTCGATGCATGAATCAAGGGACAGTGTAAAACTTGTCCTTCTAATAAAACAGTTTGCTTATTAAACATCATCTGACAAAAGAAAAAAAAGGAATTTTTATTTTGGATTCATATGCTTATCACAGTTTCTTAAACATTTTGTGAGCATGGGAGTTGGGAGGCAGTTGAAAGCCATACAATTTGCATGAAACTCAAATGGGATCTATCTGAGAAAACAATCAGGCTTGAAGGAGAGGTTTTCCTTTGCAGGATGTTTCTGGAAAGGAAAGAAAAATAGGACTAATGGTTAAGTAGAGCCTCATATTACAGGCTTTTGTCTGTGATTGTCTAGAAATTGAATTAACCTCTCTCTTGTGCATATCATTTAAAATGTAACTTTGGAAAGGCTGCACAGAGGTTACAACTCTGAAGGCCTAATAAGCAGAAATAGTAGCAGAGGTCCTCATGCTGGGAGAAAGGAGGACTTGTGACAAGAGAGGAAAGGAGGTGAAGAGGCGGAAGAGAAATGTTAATTTTGGCAATCGAGTTGACAGAATAGATTTGTCTCCAAGCCCAATAGTTGTAAAAGTAGGTCAAAAGGGTCTGCTGAGTAAACAAATGGAAGTTTGTTAGTTCCTTCCAAAAATGATACTTTCTGTGTGCACTGTCTGGGCATAACAGAAGACAGAAAAGGAACTTGTTAGTGTTTTAATTACAGAAGACAATTACATATGGTTTTAATGCCACTAACTACATTTTTTCGCCTTCAGGAATAAAAGATCTATTGTTCATAAACCCAGAGAGTTTGCCCACAGTTGTAGTTGTTATTAAGGGGAATTGTATTACGTGTAAATCTGTTAGGTTTCTTAACCCTGCATTCTAAAATAAGCGTGTAATTTCAAGTTTTACAATCTAATATTTTCAGAAGAAAGCTTTGTAACATATGTTTTACTTCTGTTAATTACACATAGTTTACTAATAAAAAAAGAACAACAAAAGTGAGGCAGTTTATTGCTAAAGACTCCTCATTGTTACTGTGTAACATCTGTCATCCTTCAGCATTGCTTGGTTTTCTTAAATAGGTAGAGGGGGGTTGTGTAACTCTTTGGAGTTATTTTGTTTTGGGGTGCAGGGGGAAAGTCATCTTATAGAGAGGGGGAAAAAAAAAGTTGATTCTGAAGTATTGCTGGACCATAACTTCAAAAATTGTCCTATAAACCTTTACAAACTGAAGGAAAAATGTAATTCTAATTTTTTGGGTATGGCATATTTTAAGTCTTCACAAATTATTTTTAAAAATACCATCATCTTTTGATTTGAATTGACTCTCCATAACTTTCTGTGGATTTATTTATTTATTTTTTTAATCCTTATTACAGTATGAAACTAAAAATATATGGGTGAGGGGAGAATGAAAGATCACTTTTGAAGTCAAGAAATTTTCCTTTTGTCCTTGTCCTCACCACAGCAAGATTTGAA